TTCCATAAAATAGAGTTTGAGATGTATTGTTCTACCATAGAGAAGGATGTATGAAGACTGTTAAAGATCTCAGCAAGGATATAGAAACTTTATAAAATGTTATTTTGCATATTTTTAAATGCCTTAATAGTTACAAAAATTCCTTTTGTACATAATCGTTCTTAACATTGAAGTTCATTATTTTTTCCCTGCTTCAAGTTCCCCTAATTACTTACAACGATCTTTTGTAACCCCACTCAAATCATTACAAAAATCTGTGTGCAAAATAAGTGTATTTATTTTAAAACTTAAAAGAAACATACAGAATAATGTAAGGTAAATGGATCAGAAAATACATGAAGACTACACGGCTGGATGAGTCTGTTTTACATTACTACAGTTATAAAGTTTACTTCTTGTAGTTCTGAAGACTGAGAAGGCCAGTGTCAAGGCCATTTGTGCTGTGCAACTTCATATCAGGGCGAAAAACTACAAAAGAACTCAGTAGTTAAAAGTTTCCTCTGTCAATAACTAACTCACTCTTGAGCTAACATCAGTCCATCTATTACACCGGAGACCTAGTGACTAAGTCACCCTCTTTTGGCCCCACTTTGTAGACCTCTTGACTGAATCACTGTCATTTGGTACCATTTTGCAGTCCTATTGTCCTGCAGCTTCCAACACTCAAACTTTGAAGTGAACTGACAGATTAGCAGAAGCTGTGATTATATTTATTCATCAGTCTTTAAGTCATAGTTAAGAAACAGTAAGCATATCAGTTTTATACTTTTGTTCTCTCTTCCTCAAGTTATGGTGACAATAAACAATAAGTCAGTAAAAGATGGGGCTGGAGAGATGGCTCAGTGGTTAAGAGCAATTAACCTGGTTAATCCAGGTTCAATTCCCAGCAACCACATGGTGGCTAACAGCCACCCATAACTCCAGTTCCAGGGGATCTGACACCCTCTTCTGACCTCTGTGAGCATTCATGACATAGGCACACCTATCTACATGCAGGCAATACACCCATACACTTAAGATTAAAAAAAAAAAACAGCAACAGATTAAATGATAAAATATGAAAAGAAGCCATGCCTCTTCACAAGTGGATACAAATAGGGTACATCAGGAGTTGCTATAGTGAGTGACTACAAAATCAAGGCACATATTTATGTCTGTCACAGCACATCACACTGAATTTTTATTTTCATAATTAAGTAGCAGTAAAAACTTAGAAACGCTTTAATTTCTCAATGGGTTCCCATTTCAATCAGAAAATACAAATTAAAACCAAGTATCATTTTCCAGAGGAGATTAGTGAAAGTTAAAGTACAGAAATATTTCTCTAAAACTGGAAACTGGTAAACCCATACAACATTTCTGCCGCAATTACGGGACTCAATTTGGAAATATGGAAGTATATAGCAAAACCAAATATTTGTACAACCCATGACTCAGCAGTTCTATTTTGAGATATTTTCCTTTGCCTTAGAAAACTCTCACAAATATCCATGTAAGGAGAAAGGTACCCAGAGCTATGTTGTAGTCTCAAATATTAGGCTTCATCTCTATGTCTGGTAGGATATATTATTACAGAAAGCCATATTAACCTGAATTTAGACTTCATGTAGTTGAATAAAAATTAAATGAAATTAAAGGAAGAAATATTCAGTAAACCATTTAAATAAAAAATATTATAAATATG